CACTGTTGCAGCACCCGCGGTTTTGCAGCGTCTCGGGCATATTCGCAGACGCGCGCGTGGACGGCTTTGATGCAGTCTGGCGAAAGAAAACCGCCTCCCTGTTAAACAGAACGCGCGGGAGTTGTAACGGCATCCTGAAAGTGTAATTATTATATCTTACCATATATCCTCGTGTTATGTCAGTTCAGTCTTCACACAAACTGAAGTTCTAAGACAAATTTCTTGGAAGTATTATCTAATAAAAACATTTTTCAATCAAATTATTTTCAAAACATGATATTGTTTCCTTTATTCAGTCACCCGTGCAAGATGGCCTCGTAAAACATTGTATATTAGTTTTTAAAGGCTTTATAATTCAGAAATGAACCCTTGCCACGTTGCGGAAGTTTAAAGAACTATTTTTTTTGTCTATTTCCACTGGCCGACTGTTTAAGTGTTTGTCTATCCCACTTCCCTACATCCTTACCGTGTACGGTTAAAACAGCCCAGTGGCATGTATTGTTTTTGCAACTCAGTGTTGTTGTCTAAACTTTATTAATCTTTCTATTAATTATGTCTCAAAATGTTGATAGTGTTGTAGTCGAAACTGTTGTTTTCACAAATTATCTGTCAAAATTTTCAGTGTTGTTATCTAAACTTCTGTTTCTTGTGTATCTGTTTGACATAAGCCAAAAATTTTATAGATAATTCGTAGACAGTTGTTTAAACAGCATCACTGCAGTCATTTCGTGCAGTACAGATTTTGAAATAAAAAATAACTATTCCTATCAACGACATCATCGACATCCATTGTCATCGATAGCGCCTCATTTCAGGGGCCAAGACAAAATTGTCTTCATTAAAAGACGTTAGTAATAACATTTTAAAATTGGTTTTTTAATTAAAAAATATTAGTATAAAAAGGGGCGTGTTGTGTGGATTGGTACAGACTGTCGATTCGACAACATGGCGTTCAAAACTGGAATAGTTCTACTTGGTAAGTGCTGAACATTACCTACATTATCTATTTCTTTTTTTATAAGCCGCTTCTGTCCCGCTGCAACATCTGGCGAGTCCTTTAAAAAGGAGTCCAAGCCTTGGTTCACACGGCATTGTCCTGCACGGATAGACAGCGAGGTGTTCACACGATACATATAGCGGTAGCCGCAGCATTTACACAGCAATCGCCCTGAGAACACGTCTGCGATGGACCTACGCCTTGTTGCACTTTTATATGGGCATAGAAGACGCCAACACGGGACTTGACACAGGAGATAATAAAATCGGTTCTCTCTACTCAAAGTATATTGAGAGAGAAACACTCCTTGAATTGGAGAATGCAAAATCAATCATTAGAATAATAGCTCCTTATTTATTATTAGGCGTTATTTAAAAAAATGAATCTTCATGCATGAACAGCCACCCTTAGAGGTGAATGATTTTCTTCAAAATGAAATGGGACCACTATGGAGGTACCCTCTTTCCAACAAAAAAGGAATCATGAAAATCGGTTCACAAATACCGGAGTTATCGCGTAACATACATACAAAAAAAATACAGTCGAATTGAGACCCTCCTTCTTTTTTTGAAGTCGGTTAAAAAATGTGCAGCCGTGCCGTGTGAACGGGGGGTAAGTCATTCCGCCAGCTCTAACGTGGTCTACCGCGTCCCTTTTTGAATTGTGGGGTTGTTTTTGCCTTCTCACTCGGCATGCAGCAGACGTGACCAGCCTAGTTCCCAAGCTACATCAACAATTTGTTTTTATGAGCGTAGCGTGGTGTTCATTGGCGTTTCCAATGTAACGAATCTAAGATGGCCGCCATACAAAATTGACTTTTCTAAATCTTCGCAACTATCAATGATACTAGTGGTTTCTTCTGAGATATTTAAGAATACGTCATGATGCGATCATACCAACTGACCTACTATCTCCCAGCCAGTTCAATCAAAGAAAATTCTCTAATGAATTAATAATAACAAATTTCAACTTCCACCAGTCACAAGTCTATAAGAATGCCCACTAGTCTATATATATAGTCCATTATCTGTGTATAAATTGTATTAGATATGGTCGTGGTTGTGGCGTAGGGGTGGTGGTAGATCTGTGGGAGATCCATGAGAAATAGTACAAATACCTCTTACTAATAGTAAAAAAACATCGTGATGATACCTGCTTGCCCAAGGTTCGTTGACCTTTGAATCGTATAAAGTCCCTAATGTTGCTTACTGTAACCTAAACTTCTGGGACGTATATTGAAAATTTAAAGAAATCGTTTGGCCTGGGTTTGGTCTAATTTATGTTTATAAAATATTTCAGGTCTCCTCTGCGTGGCTCGCAGTAACCCATTAGGCGCTGCGACAGTCTGTGAATCTAGCCCTAACCTAGGCCTGGGTCTTGGCGGCCTTGGTATGGGTATGGGTCTTGGCGGCATGGGACTTGGCGGAATGGGTCTTGGCGGCATGGGTCTTGGCTCTACAACAGTTTGCGAATCTACCCCTAACTTAGGCCTCGGTCTTGGTGGTATGGGTCTTGGCGGCATGGGACTTGGTGGTATGGGTCTTGGCGGTATGGGTCTTGGTGCTACAACAGTCTGCGAGTCTACCCCTAACTTAGGCCTGGGTCTTGGCGGCCTTGGTCTTGGCGGTCTAGGTCTCGGCGGCCTCGGCGGTCTCGGCGGCCTTGGCGGTCTCGGCGGCCTCGGTTACGGTTATGGTCTTGGACTTCCTGGAATGGGAGCGACTACTGTTTGCGAATCGAGTCCGAACTTACTTCTTGGCGGTCTTGGTCTGGGTGGTTTAGGTGGATTGGGAGGTTTAGGTGGGCTGGGATTAGGAGGCTTGGGATTGGGAGGTATGGGCGGTCTTTACGGCGGTTACGGCATGGCTGGACTAGGTGGTCTAGGTGGTCTCGGCGGTCTAGGTGGTCTAGGTGCTCTAGGTGGCTTGGGTGGCTTAGGCGGAACCGCAACGGTCTGTGAATCCATGCCAAATCTAGGCCTCGGTCTTGGATATGGCTTGGGCATGCCTTTTTTATAAACAATTACTCTAACGAACATTCCACGGTTCGTTCTCATTCAAATATTGGCAGACTTTCGCCTCTCGAACCGTTAATAGCTACGCAGTCTTATGAAGATAGCTACGCTAATACTGTACACAATACGCGACTAATTATTTAAAAATAAATAGTTTGACAAGGCTCTTTTTACAAACACGATCATTGACTCAAGCAGAATTACAATTGGGCCTTTAAAATAAATGCCAAGTTACTGTTGCTTGGTTCACGTTGGTACACCATATCGTATCTTATAATAATAGATGTAAAATATAATTTACGTTACAACATAGAAGAGTAAATATAGAACCGAGTAACTATTTTGAATCTGTATTGTAATTTACTGACATCCGCACCAAAAAGTAAGAATTGCGACTATGGTATCAGAGACGTATTTGGGTGGCTTCGGCTGGTGCACCAAAGTTTATCTGTAATTCTAAATGAGCTTAAGAATCCTTGTTAACTCTATCACAACAAAAACATAAGAATATCGGCTTTAAAAATGGTCTCTTTGATTGATGGATTGCCATGTAACGTTTTGTTTAAACAAAATTTTATGGAAAAACATTCCTTGTATATTTTGCGTTCGGTAACAAATTGCAGCGTACGAAACAACGCCAGTACTGGTATGCAAGTATCCTCCTTATTTTGTCAATAATAAGAGCGTAAATTCATCGTTTTATAAATATATAATTAAACAAGCAAGTATGAAAAAAAACTTCAGGCACATGTTTTTTAAGCAATCAGATAGTTTATAACTGGAAGAAAATAAATATTTTCGCATGAAAAAACTTTGTAAGCACTGAAATTTTAATTTGGTAGGAACAAAAGTAAAATATATGCCTGGATTGAAAAAAAAAACTCTTAAATGTAACTGTTTGGCATCAAAATTGTGAATTAAATGTATACATTTTTATTATGTATTTAATTGGCTTTAAGAAAATAAATTTGTATATATTATTATTTTATTATTTTTTTTACTCCCTATTTACCTCATGAAAATTCCTTCGATCGGGCTGGATTCGAACCAACGTCTTCCAGCAAACCGTGCCAGACGCCATACCAACTAAATGTCGAATCCAGCCGCATCGAAGAAATTGTTCTCTAATTATAACAAACTAGTGGGGTAATTTCACAAAAATTATTGAATAGAAACAAACAATCATAGTGACAATCATTAAAAAAAAAAGAAAATAAAACTTGTGATGTTTAGTTTCTAACTGGTTTTACCGGGAATTGAAAGCGATGCTTAGTGACTGAATCACAGAACACTTAAGATACATTTCAGTCAACATTATGCTTATGAGAAACCAATTATTAACACAATTTGTGTTCAAAAAAGTAAAAAGAATTTTACCATGAGTAATAAATATTCGTAATGATATTTCTTCCTTTATTTTTGAGATATGAATAAGTTCGAATAAATTACGTGATATCGTCTTCGATTAGTGTCTGTGTCACTGAATCTTTTCTAAAGGCATAAAATGTGATCGTAACTTGGCAACAAAAAATATTCACTTAGACATTTCTCACAGAAATAAGACGTGGCCACAGATAAAACTTGAAGGAATTTTACAATTTTTAATATTTTTGTAGCTGTGACGACTACACTTTTATGAAAAATGCACTTATAAAGGCAGCGGGGCTTACTAAACCACAAAAAAAAAACACAAAAATAAACTTGCTTCAATAATAAATACCCGTATCTTTATTCAATCGCATTCATGCATTAACAAACGTAGTCTTATTTAACATATATACATATTTATAATACAGTTACATATATAATATACATAAATATATACTACAGGTTTTAGTAAACATCTTTGACTCTACAAAATATACGCTGATTTGGCAAATAGATTAGTTAACCGACTGCTAAGGTACCTTAAAGTTAGTAAGATCTATTGCTGACCACACCTTGTCTTTTAAAGCAACGGGCACTGATGGGATGGATTGCAAATTGTTCTGGACGACCAGAAATTCCAGCTGTGACGCTTGGGAAGTCTTGTTAGGTACAACGGCGCACAGTCGTTGTGTGCAAAAGGTCTGGGATCGTTTGTAGAATCGGCCTGAGTTCGTTTATAGGGTTCTATTTGGAAGGTTCGTACATCTGCATACATTAGCACAGTCTGTTATGGTACATGAAATCACTTTGCCATATCTTTGTCACATTAGTATTGTCAAAACATTTACTTCAAATCCATATCACTGTTTTTGTTGTTGCTCAATTCGACTTGATTTTTTAGATAGTGTTTTTATACTGAGACATGAAGGTGTTTTGTTTCTCAAAGATGTTTTGCTTTTAACGTTCGATAATGTAAAAATATTGTCTTTTTCAATTGTTTACTATATAAGCAACAGCGTATTGCAATAATATATTTAAGGCCATCCAGGACTATAAAGGACATTTTAGAATTTTCTTTATAACACAATAGAGCTGTGACAACTTTAGTAAAATGCAAAACTCTTTTACTCCGTTATAGTCCCAAGTAGCCCCAGTACACTGTCTTTTGATGCTTGTACCGTATTTTGATATTGTAGAACGCTTTACATACTGTTCATGCAAAAAAGATGAAAATTATTAAGGCTATTTTTGTATAAACAAGAGAGCAAACTATCTAAAAATCAAGTCAAAAATATTCGCCATGCTTAATTGCATGGGTTGCACGTGTTGCATGTGTTGCATGGGTCTATAGAGGATGGCGCACCGCATGGGTCACAGGGAGACTGGGATGGCGGTGGAGCGCAGGGGTTGTTGCATGGGGACGGAGCTTGGCATGGGTTGTAGGTTCCAACGACGGCGCAGTTGCAAGTGCGGAAGCATTGTGGAGGATCAGGCTGGAAGACGATGGTAGGTGGTGATGGCACGAAGATCCTTGGGGGACGGACCACGATTGGCAGGGGAGTAGGAGGTTGTACTTGCCCAGGTTGTATCTGGAAAAGAAAGAATTACTGTTTATTGCTTTTTTATAAAACACGTGCGCAGTCGACCTCCATCTCACCTAATGGAAAGTAACGATGAGGTGGACGATAGAGCATGAACACCTAAATAATACCTATTCACTCTCGCCTTGAAAAGGTCCAAGTTATAACGCTATGCAAAAGGGGAAGGCGGAATTCAATCGTGTAATTCCATTGTAGCCTGTTGGTACCTAGGTGGCCTGTTGGTAAGTAGCAGAACCATCCCAAAGGTGGTAGCAGTACTCCATGCACGATCGACTTGTTTTTTTTTGTGTACTTCTGTTTCTTTTCTACCTCTTTGAAGCAGTCCTCGTCGCACTGGTCTACTCCTGTCGGTGGTACTGACGACACAGTTCGAGAGATGAGTTTCCGCTTTTTCTTCTTCCCCTCCGTTGGTTGCCTGGGTTGTGGTTGTGGAGCAATGGGTTGGCTAGCAGCGGCCACAGTAGCGTAATCACGTCGAGGTGTCAAAGGCTTACGAGTGACGTCTCCGCCTGAGCGGAAAAACGAGGGGCAGGGCGCGGGGACACTACCATATGAGCCGTCTCAAAACTGCCGATAGATGCGTTTTGTAAGGGTGCTGGTGAAAGTACACGCACAGGGGACTTAGAACTTATGTCTCTTTATAGGCGTGTCGCTTAGAGACAGGTGCACGACTTGTTCGTCCCATCGTTTGGTGTCATAAAAAAATAGAAGCTGATGCTCTGATATTTCGGTACTTACCCGAAGTGCAGGTGGTCGCGGTGGAATGATGATGGGTGGTCGAACCAGAATGGGGGCTGGCCTAGGGGGGTACACGAGCGGCGGCTTCACACAAATTGGGGGTGGGCAGGGAACTTGCACTGGCGGTGGGCGCACGCATATGGGGCTAGGTTGTGGTGGTTGAACCTGTGGAAATTGTAACGGTGATTATTTGATGTAGTTATTTTAAATTTATGTTTAGTAAGACGATGTCTTTGTTGTCTGTTCACAGACTGAGCTTCATGTAAAAGACTCGAGGCTTTTTAAAGCTGAGAGCCACCTCCGCAAAAGAATAAACTTAGCCACCCAAAGGGGTAAAGTGATGGCCACGATGCCCCAGAGATCATATTTTCTACCCTCAACAAGCTGATACATTTTTCTTCTTGTTGAAATAATAAACGTTTTATTAGTATTATAAACGGCCATGTCGTGATATTAAAAAGTTTAGTAAGTATTACCTTCCGTTAAAAAAATCCATGACTTTGTCGATAATTATTTACCTGAGCCGGTTTAACCCACACGGGCGCGGGGCTTGGCATTTCAACTCGACCTGGACGAACCATAATGGGCGGTGGCGCAGGCAGCTGAATTTGACCTGGTTTCACTATTACTGAACCTGAAAAACATATTGTTTCTATAACTTGAACCATCAATGATTTCTTGGTAAGGAAGATCGATTATGGTATAGTGCCCCTCAGATCTTTGCATTTAAAGCTCTGAGTGGCACTGGAACTGTTATGGACTGGCGTGTAACACACTTAATATTACAAAATAACCCTTGAGTCGTTTAAATGGTTTCTTACCTGCTGGAGCCTGTCCAAAGCAGACCCTTGAGGGTGGATTGCCCGGGGTCACCTGAACGACCGACCCACCACAACCGCATGAGTCACAACCACATCCATTATCTTGACCTTGACAAGGGTTGGAGCAAGAGTCGCAAGGGTTACAAGGCGGAGGTGGTGCGGCGCATGGGTCACATGGGTTGCAGGAGTTACAGGAGTTGCAGGGGTCTTGCTGGGAGCATTGGTCACAGTTTTGAGGACCAGGGAGCGGCTGAGCGAAGGCCGAGTGGAGGAGCAGAACTGGAAATGGAAGAATTATCATTGTAAAATATGTTAGTCTTTATGACAGTGAAGAATTTTGGCTTAACACAAATATGTATCACTAGGATATTCTATATATTGGGATTGGCTGATAAAATAATTCGTGGAAAATGAAACTATTTTTAACCGACTTCTAAAAAAGCAGTAGGTTCTCAATTCGACTGTATGCTTTATTTTTTTAAATTTGACTTTTTTGTTGGAAAGGGGGTACCTCCATAGTGGTCCCATTTAATTTTGGAGAAAATCATCCACCTCTAAGGGTGGTGTTCACGCATGAAGATTCATTTTTATAAATAGCGCCTAAATGGTATTATAAGGAGTAATTTTTTAATGGTTGATTTTGCTGTTCTCCAATTCAAGGCGTTTTTCTCTCTCAATATACTTTGAGTAGTGAGAACCGATTTTTATTATCTCCTGTGTCAAGTCCCATATAGTGAAGAACTAGGGGATGAATTCGGGTTTGCGCATTTTCCGGTAAGCGATTTAAATAAACTTGGTAATTATATGTAATTCCACGTACTTTTGAGGTCGGTTTTTTTAGTACTCTGTACTGTGATTATTTGAAATGTGCTGCTGTGTTCTTCAAAGTTGTATCGAATTGAAAATTATTCATCTTTCATGTTTAGCTTAAACTCTGAATCACAAATATTTTATGTTCAAAAGGTTAATATTGTAGCCCTTTTGTTCACAAAATTCTGAAATTGTTCAGAGAGGCACAGGTATTTTCGAATACTTCTTATTCTTATACAGTTCCGCAGTTTTGAAAAGGCGGAACTGTATAAGGATAAGAAGTATTCGAAAATACTGTTAAATATTTAGGTGAGGAGAACGAAATAACAATAGCGGATGAAATAATGTTAGAAGAAACTTTAGAATTGCTCTCCTGAAAAATCTGTATTTTTGAGATTATACCCTGTTCATCAGAACGGCGCCGAAAGCCGATACCCAAGCACAAAGTTCTTTAACAAAAACACATACGAGAATTTCGACAACCCGATAACTTGACCTATAGCTCAGTTGGTTGGAGCAGCCCTACGGTACAGCCTGGTCATGTGTTCAAGTCTCGTCGGATCGAAGATTTTCTATATGTTTGATCTTTGTGTTGATAATTTTTTTTTATAATATCAAATGCCGGAACGAACAACTCGTGCGCCTGATGGCGAGCTACACGCCTGTCTATGACAGTTCCATAGTGATCTTGACAAGTTCCATTAAATTAAAAACCGGAACCCAGTAATGCTAACTTAAAAATAACGTAAATATTGAATGGAAAAATAGGCAAGGTTGCAGTGCTTCCCTCGACGGGTTACCTAGCAGTATCTAATCCTATCTTTGCGATAAACATTTAACATATCCTGAAAGAACAACGGTTTCGTTAGAATTCGATTTTCGGTGTAACGAAAATTCGGGCAAACGTTATTTCGGAAAAAAAAATACGAATCACAAGGAACTCTACTGCTCCTAATCACTACTTAACCAAGTTTAAATCGATCACGGAACCAAACAAATTATTAACTGCTTTTATATCAAAACGCGAATAAAATTTGAACAGCAACCTTCCACAATTTTAACTCGCTCTATATCGATGTTAGTTTAAAGTTAACTGCGGAGTTAACAAAATACTTATTTAAGCAATGTTTGGTTAGGTTTGTTGAATTTGTTTCGTAGTTTAATGACGTCCGAATCACTCAACCGTACCGTAATGTTCCATAGTTTCATAAAGAGCTTTAGTAAATTAACCCGTTGATTTCAAAACGCCGCAACAGAAATAAAGCTTGAAAGACAGTCAGAGCGGGTGCGGGTCGGGCGCGTAGCGGTTGGGGAGCGCGCGGGTCTAATTCCGTAATTTATAGACGACAACACACCTAGCGCGTGCACCCGTCACGCGCCCGCACGCACTCATTATGTTGTCATCCATATAAATACACGGAATAGACTCTTAGGGTCGTATTCCAGAACTCTAGTCAACGCTCAAGTCAGGATCTGAGTATGATTTAAAGCACTGAAAATCATACTCAAGTCCTTGCCATTAGGGTCGTATTTCCAGTGCTTGAAATCATACTCAGATCCTGACTTGAGCATTAAGTAGAGTTCTGGAATACGACCCTAAAACTCTTTTTATAAAAGAAACCGACCTCAAAAGTTCGTGGAATCATGTCTATATCCGAGTTTTATTGAAATCGGTTACCGGAACATGCGCGAAACCGGATTCATCCCCTAGTTTGCCACCCTTAGAGGTGGAATACTTTCTTCAAATTTTAATGGGACCAATACTGAGGTATATTAGAAAGATCCAACACAAATGCCGGAGTAATTCGGTAACATACAAAAAAACAATCGAAATTTATAATAATAAAGAATATTAATTTACAAATACTAATTTTAATTAATTTTGAACGTGCCATTAACTGTACAGACGAAATGTAGCACAGCTCTTTTTATTTAGAATAGCAATGTTCCAAATTTATTTTTAAATCTGTATAATTGGTTATATATTACTATTGTAGTAAAAAAAAAAATGTGTATATTTACCAGAGAACCAAATCACTGTTCCCCTCGCCATCTTTTAGTCGTCTAGTAAAAAGAACCCATCTACGGCATTATATATACAAAAATATCAAAATACATCTAAATTATATATTTGTGTATACCAACCAAATGTAATACTTATAACTATTATTAATAAAAACTGTTTTTCTTTGTTATTTTTTTAATATTTACCTTTAATACGGCGTTAAGGTATGGTATGATTCACTTCAGATATTTAAAAATTATGATTCTAATGTACTTAATTAATGTTATATGTTTTTTATTCATGCTTTTGCAATATAAGTGAAACATAAAAAGTTTTTAAAAGACTTTTAATAACAGTTTCCGGGTTTGAGTTCCTTTTTTAAACGCCTTCGGTTGTGGTTTCGAAATTCAAACTGTGGTAAAGTGTGTCGTCTCCATTTTGTTATGGTGATAAAAGAAAATTGTTCTCTTTTAATGTTGACATTTGGGATGAAAGCGTGAACAGCTTTGTTTTTTGTTATTATAAGTTTTTTTTTTTGATAAAATTCTAAAGTCATTCAAAATTAGGGGCTTTTTTCAATGTGGATTGTTTGTGCTTAATGAATAATGCAAATGGAGACGGCGTTATCCGAAACCGCTCGGTAATTTTGTGATAGGAAGGAATTGTTAAGTCGTAATTTAACTTCATTCGAATTTTTTTCGCTTTCCAAAGACTATTCTGATGGAGTTAACGAACAACATTGTAAAAAAGATTCGCAGGCGTTTATTCAAATTATTTTTAATCCACTTCAAAAAAGGTGGCTCTCAATTCGACATTATGTTCTTTTTTAACCGACTTCAAAAAAGGAGGAGGTTCTCAATTCGACTGTATGTTCTTTTTTTTTTTGTTTTTTTTTGTATGTATGTTACGCGATAACTCCGGTATTTGTGAACCGATTTTCATGATTCTTTTTTTGTTGGAAAGGGGGTACTTCCATAGTGGTCCCATTTCATTTTGAAGAAAATCATCCACCTCGAAGGATGGCTGTTCACGCATGAAGATTCATTTTTATAAATAGCGCCTAACTTTAATTTAGGAGCAATTACTTTTGATTTTAATTGGTTGATTTTGGTATTACTCCCATTCAAGGCGTTTTTCTCTCAATATACTTTGAGTAGGGTCGTAGTGAGAACCTATTTTTATTATCTCCAGTATCAAGTCCTGTATAGTGGCGAACTAGGGAATATTTCAATGAAACTTAGCAAATAGACGTAATTCCACGTACTTTTGAGGTCGGTTTTTTTAGTACTCTGTACTGAGATTATTTGTATGTATGTTACACGATAACTTAACTTTTTTAACATTCCAGACAACCTCTGATTTGACTACCTCTGTTGCCGAATATGGTAACCGAATGCTGGGCTACCATGTAGAGAAATATTTGTATGGCATACATTTATTTCTCTCATGAGTTAGGTGTAATTTGTAGTTGTCTATGTATGTGTCTATGGCACCCGCGACACGCGGTCTCCCTAGTGCAGGGTTATGACTGTGTGTTACCATTTTCCTGGTCTCAAAATAGGGAATTACCTAACTATGAGAATCAGAGCAACGGAATTCACTCTGGAGCAATTCCCAAAATTTCGTTTCCCAGTTTGGTCCTGTTTATACAGCTGAATAAACCGTTCGGCCTCCAAGGTTGTCTTATTTTTGATAACCTCCGTGGTCAAGTGGCTTGCGCACCGGTTCACGGTCGGGTCAATATGTAAAACTAACTTGTATATATTGTCCCGAGTCAGCGTGTTTGTGGTACCGTTGTTGTTTCTGATTTCCATAACACAATTTAGTAGCAGTAGAACGGTTTGTGTAAGAGTTCGTCCAGGGAAGTACTGCCATCTTACCTATTTATGCCACCATGCAGTAATGTGACCATTAATGTGTTCCGGTTGGGAACGGTAAAGGTGCTGGTGGCAAAAATTCGTGGAATTACATTTATACAAATACAAAATGCTTTATTTCTCTCAAAAAGGTTTACAAAATGCAGATTTGTTACATTTCATGTTAAATATGAAGCACCTTAGTGAGAGCTGGAGTCTGTACTAGGTTGGGGACCTGTGTTATCTATGTGGTGAGTTTTATTGAAATCGGTTACCGGAAAGTGCGCGAAACCGGATTCATCCCCTAGTTTCCCCTTAGAGGTGGAATATTTTCTTCAAATCTATATGAGACCAATAACTGAGGTATATTAGAAAGATCCAATGAGAAAAGAATCATCAAAATCGGTTCACAAATACCGGAGTAATTTCGTTACATACACACAAAAAAAAAACAATCGATATCGATATTATTTATATTTCTGCCGCCAAGCAGTAATGGGAGCAATACTGTACCGGCAACACCCTCTCACTTCAAAAATTTGTCTAGTGTATTTTTGTTGTTTTACGTAGTCTGTCTAGAATCGAATTTGTTGTTGCTTTGATCTATTCACATTTTATGTATACTAAATACATTATACAACATTAAAACCCTTTACAGTCACAATTTTCTCCTACAGCTGTAATTATATTCACACTCGCTCATGCAATTACATATCAAACAGGTTATTTTTATTAACCGACTTCAAAAAAGGAGGAGGTTCTCAATTCGATTGTATGTTCTTTTTTTTTGTATGTATGTTACGCGATAATTCCGGTATTTGTGAACCGATTTTCATGATTCTTTTTTTTGTTGGAAAGGGGGTACTTCCATAGTGGTCCCATTTCATTTTGAACAAAATCATCCATCTCTAAGGGTGGCTGTTCACGCATAAAGATTCATTTTTATAAATAGCGCCTAAATTTTATTATAAGCAGCAATTATTAATTAATTTATTAAAAATTATTTTAATGGTTGATTTTGCTATTCTCCAATTAAAGGCGTTTTTCTCTCTTGAATATACTTTGAGAAGTGAGAACCGACATTTATTATGTTTTAGTGGCGAACTAGGGGATGAATCCGGGTTTGAGCACTACCCGGTAACCGATTTCAATAAAACATGGTAATTAAATGTAATTCCACGTACATTTGAGGTCGGTTTTTTTAGTACTCTGTACTGGGATTATTTCGGATTTAAATCGCGTATATTGGCAGTCAACCGTGACCATGGGACCTGTAAAGGGCCCGAAGCGTCGGTTTGTTTGAAAAACAAATACACGTGATTTAAATTCGGAAAAATAGTTTCGTTTCCTATTTAAAGTTGTGTAGGCTCTTAATATCGGCTGCGTTGCCTCACAACAAAATGCAGTAAGTATGTCATTAAACAGTGCAAATAATTAAACTAACCCAATCTGCATCATCGCAAAAAAGTAGCCTGCTTGTCGGTTTTCTATCGGATACATTCCGTGGAGTGTGCGCTGGAATTTTTCAATTTAGTTCTACCCTAACCGTTCCTTCTTCTGTCGACTAGAATGTCCGGAACACTCCACCCTTATGTCGTTGATATACCACCCATTCGCACTAAGCGCTTTACTTCCTCCTTTCTGATGCGTACGGCAAAAGAATGGAATACTCTTCCGGCATCTGTATTTCCCGAAAAGTACAATGTTGGTCTATTCAACATCAGGTGAGAATGTGGACAAGCGTGTGTCTATTACACATTTCTATCTAGCTGTTTCCGCTTTATCGCTACGTCGTCGCAATATAAAAAAGGAGGTACAAAAAAGACGTATAAAGCTTTTTTTTTTCAATAAAACAACGCAAACTCGCAACATCCTGTACTTATACAAATGTCGTTTACCCTTTTCTGCTGAATAATGGCAGTCATAAAGAGAACAATGAAAGAATCATTTTCTGCCACATATCTTTCCGTTAAGGGACCCGTGCCACGTCGCGTAGTTTAGGGCTGACACAAAATTTATTGTATAGAGCACTTTACAGCTTTCATTCCTTTTTTTACCGACTTTAAAAAGAGGGGGTTCTCAATTTGACGGTATGTTTTTTCTTATGTATGTAACGCCACAGCTCCGATTTTGATGATTTTATTTTTGTTGGAAAGAGGGTTCCATTTAAATTTGAAGAAAATATTCCGTCTCTAAGGGTGGCAAACTAGGGGATGAATCCCGTCTCGCGCACTTCCGGTAACCTATTTCAAGAAAACTTGGCAAATAGATGCAGTTCCACGAATGAGGTTGGTTTTTTAGTATTCTGTACTGCGATTATTTAATAATGGATTTTTTTTCTTAAAGTCATTCTAACTTTGAGACATTTGCCATAGTAACTTCAGCATTACATACGTTGCTCTGATCCCAAAGTAAGTTACTAAAGCACTAAGTTATGGAAATCGGAAACGACTACAGTACCATAAGCATCCAGACCCGAGACAATATAGAGAAGTTCATATGTCTACGTTAACCCGGCCGTAGATCGAACCTGGCACCTCAGAGATGGCAACACTATGAATACCGGTGTGAGAGTCATCTTCTTTGTCACGGAAGAAAAAAAAACAAAATAAATGCCTTAAACCTCGATTATTAGCAGAACCATTGTCACTAAAACTCACCCATTCATAATTTGAAACACTATGAAATCTTGACATTGACTGGTCGTAGTTTCAAATTTAAAAAGAAATAACAAATTCTGGATTGTAAATATAATTTAAACTTTACCCTGTTGGCATATCGTTGAAAGTGCAATACCATTATTGCGAGTTACGACGTTTTAATTTTATATTGAAATTTCAATTAATGAGCTGCCATCTAGCGGTTAATAGCTGAACAACGACGAATTTAAAGTGTTACTTAGTTCTCCAAAAAAGAAGCGGCCATATTGCAACGGTGTAAGAGCCTATACACACGGTGTATTTCAGATCCAAACGCGATGCAGTCGCAGCAAGTAAACCTTTGCACACGTTCACAAATTCAGTGACGCCGTAAGCACGCGTCATCCACGCGTATGCACGCCGCAGACGCATACGCCGTAACACAACTATTTGAAATTGTAAGTGTAAACTCCAGTAGAATATATCGACACCAGAAGTATCAATTAATGTAAGGGACAAACCACGGTTTTTCAGGAGAGCCAAAAAACGATTTTATTTTTTTTAAACTGTCTATAACTTTTTACTGTCTGC